AAAATTGATTTCATCTGCTCAAAGGAACAATGTACATTTTAAGAACTGTACTCAGAATGTGCTGCATTGATTTTGGTTGAAAACAATAAAAACCGTTAAAATGAAAGAAATTGAAAAATAAAATTAAAAAATGACATCAGCTTTTTCCTTTAATTATATTTTTTTCGATTACCCTGTCACTCAATAATAGTTGACCGTGTAGTTTAATTTTTGCATCATTTTAAAACAGAAAGCACCTACTCCCTTTTTTGCGTAAAGAACAGTGATATCGATAGGAGTCAGAATCATAATCCCATCACTACGTACAATTTTTTTCTTGAATATTATAGAACATTTCGACTGTAGCAAACTCAAAACAGTACACACGGGAACGATATAAAATCGAAATCCAAAAAAAAATCGAAAAAAATTATAATCGTTTTGGATGAAGACGGAAAACAAATTAAAATCGGTACGCACTACATTACTACGACAAAATCAATATTTTATAGCGTTCTATATAAAGAAATAATATTCTATTAACCATATAAAAGTCACATGGTAGATATATTAAAGTCAATTATCAATAATATATACTCGAGTTCTTATTCAAAACTCGTGGTCATAAATCGGACTGTGGATATCCACTAGCCCGTTTCGTCTCGTAGGTGTCGTATGAGGTGATAAAGGAAATTAAACCAGATGATGGGCGTCAGCGTCCTCATGATTACAACTAAAAATAAAAGTCTGCGGTTGCCAACCCGCTTGTGAAGCGTGGCAACTATGCCGAAAAACTATCCAGTAAAAAGGGTCTCCGGTTCTCTACACACACCATACAAAACACAGCAGCATGAAGCTGCTATTTTACGCTGGTATTCTGTGAGAGCGTGATCCTACCCCGGTCGAGTCGACCCATTCATGCATCAACCATAACATAGCCGCAGCATGGCTCTACCGCGTATAAATTATGAGAAAAGGCCTAACGAACTACGAAGATAAAATTTTGAGAATAAATATAATGAAAATAACGAAGACGTACAAATAAATATTCCATCATGTGAATTTACGAAAAATTGAATAAATTGTAGTACAGTAAGCACCGTCAAGATAGTTCCAGCAGCAAGTTAGAAGTTTAGAATAAGAGAGCAGTCTAGTTAAAGACCTAATATCTAGGCACACGTTCCCCTGTTGAAACTTTTCCTATATAACACATCATTCATATTTTTATGCAGATCTTTGCTAAATATCTATAATATAATGGATGTGCCCGCAACATAAACCCAGATTCTATTAACTACCTACCGTTACAGCCTATTTTTTTAACGTTACCCCACACTAGGATTTTCTCCTGTATCGTTGAGGCAATTTCCAAACATAAATTGCACATGCACAAACATCCAGACCCGGAACAATTATTTGCAGACCATACAAATACTTGTTCCGTGCGGGATTCGAACCCGCCGCCCCCAGCGCAGCAACTCTTTGATAAGCCACTGCGCCACGGAGCCGTCGAAAATAAAATCCACCGCTGAACATAGGCCTCCCCTATATTGCCTCATAGGTGGTTATGTCGCCACGTCTGGCAAGCGTGTTGACGCTGCTGCCGATGTTCTGATTAGATGCCCTCTGGTTCTCTAACGACACCCAGGGGTTGGCCTAAAGGTCTAGATACCAGGCCATAAACTCCAAAAAAAAAAAAGACAGCCAGGGGATGATATGGGGTAGTGGATACTCTTGCACCGCCACTGCAATGTCAATCAATTAATTAATCACCTACATCTATCTACTGTCACTATCCTACAGAGCTCCTGTATAAACAGTTGAAAATATGAACTGTGCGGCAACTGTTTATACAAAGAACCTTACTGAAACAACATGCTCTATTAAAATACAACCCCTCACTCTCCCGAGGTAAAAGGCGTTTTAACCCCGTGGACCGCACTCATATAACTCTATCCACCAAACTATCTAAACGTTTCTTTTGTCACCTTGGAGGTTTTCTATACAATAAAATCAATAAAATTATCCCTATATATAACGTCAATAAGACTACATGCAAAAAGAAAATGATTAATGATTAATAAATTTATAACTGTGCAAGGCGGCTAAAGTAGATTTCAGACTATGCTATAATATAATAGCATATAATATAATATCACCCGCCATACATTATTATGGACACGTTCACACTGTACAATACTACCAATATATTATTGACTTTGTATGGTGCGCGATATTGTTGTGCCATGAGCTATATACTATACGCTTTGTATTATAGCGTAGTCGGAAATCTACTTAACTGTCCCGGACTATGTGAGTCTTCTCACAATAATGGCATTTTTTTACATTTACAAAAAAAATAAGACTTTTTTTAAAATAATATCGGCCACATTATTGTGTACCGTTGACACCTAAAATTAGTTTTCCATGTTGTTTATTTTTATCTGCCGTTGTCACAGATAAGAATTTTTAATTTCCGCTTTTTCTCGTTTAGACGAGGGTAGTAGTAGTATATATAAAGTATAGATATGCTGGTTGTTCTTTATTGCTTTTTGGGAGTATCGTTACGCTTATGATTATTTACGCGGTAAGCAGAAACTTTAATTTTGACCAACGAATAGTGTCTGATCGAAGCTTCGTCTTCCACTCAGGCTTTAGCTTCGGCCACGGCCAAAATAGGCCGAAGTTTTGACTGTTTCTAACAAACGCTGAAATTGAACAAACTGTTACGAATTAACGAGAGTGCGACCTAATTTTTATCATCTCTAGATCAACTTCAAGATACAGTATAATATGCCATGTAACGTCACTCTATTTAACGACGAACTCCCCAAAGCGGTCAAATCATTCTACTTAGGTTGGTTTAAGTTGTCATCCATACAATGATACACTTTATATAACTTACTTACGAGTACTTTTTAAGTTGCAAAAATGAGTAAAAACTGCACAGCTGTGTACGTTCTTTTGTCGTTTTATATCCGACAAATCAGGTATCAGGTATATAATTAAAGCCTAGCCGGTAATAAATACTACTGTCGGCATCGTACATACCAAACTCTCTAAGAAGCCCGTTGTTTTGTTTACAAATTGGGATTGCTTGCACGTGTAGACTGTTGTGAGTAGGAATCATGGATTATCTATACGTTATCATATTCTTAGTTGCTCACAGACTTTGAAACTGTAAACATGGCAAAAGTAAGAGAAAATCAATATGCATTGACGAGTGTTTCTTATACGCGCAATAGAGGCTGGAGAGATAGATGAGATGATGTTGGTAGACATTTTGAATTTAGTTTGTATACTTTTTATTTTGTAATACAGATTTTTCCTCGTCCCATTTAACGACAACGCTCTATAACGTCAAAATATGCACAGTTCCTTGAGTGTCGTTATATAGAGTCTACACTGTATTATTAAAATTAGCGTTTGCGCCCTCCTTTCTGCCAAGGAGGGTCGCGTTCGTATACGGCTTAGAGATCTCCAGTCAGATCGTTAAGCCATTTCCTAAAAGGTGGTGTTTAGTGGGTAAAAGTCGCCACATAACCACGCAGCCGGCTGCGTGGTATGCTATGAGCATTCACCACCTCCCTCCCCCGCTTTCCGGAGGGTTGCCCATATTTGCTTCGGGCGCAAAAAAAAAAAAAAAAAAAAAAAGTACCTTTTTATATTATACAGTCAATATAATCCATTAATTTAAAAGTTTTAAAATTTTCATTATTAATTTTATGCAATACTTAACTGTATTTCTTAGGGTTTAATAAGCCTTAGGTTTCGGCCGAAGGTTGTGACGATAGCCGATTAAAAGGTTTCAGCTTTGGCCAGAAAGTGACCTACGGTGGGACACTCCCAACGAGCAATTCGACATAATTCTTCAACTAAGCAGAGTGAATTGTCTCGGAATTAGCTTTAGATTTTTAAGTTAGTGTGTTAAGCCAAACAAATATTTTTTTTTATAGTTTCAATGATAATGTTTCTTGTAGTTGATTTCGATTAAAGAGCAATTGGTACTTCAATATTACAAACTTGGTAAGGATAATAAACGAGCACACAGATCCACCTGATGGTAAATGGAAGTTGCAATCCATAGACACCTACATTCATCCTCGATTAAAAAACAAAACGTACACGCGTTGATGGTTGAGTGGTCTAAGGATATATCACAATCTCAAGGTTGTCCAAATAGTTTCATTAAAAAATTCATCCCACTTTTCATAACTCGTTGAGGTAGAATTTTTCTCCAAATTTACATGGGACCAGGTGAACAATATTATCATTATCATCATAATCACTAATCATTACAGCCTATTAAAGTCCACTGCCGAACATAGGTCTCTATCATAAGGGGGATACTTGCCATAGTTGCCACGCTTGGCAAGCGTATTGGCAACCGCATTATTTTCCATTTTCTTGTTGTCATCAGGAAGACGCTGTCGCCCATCTCCTGATTGGTTTTCCTCTGTCACCTCTTACGACACCCACGGATCGATATGGAGTATGGATACTTTTACATCACCAATACACGGTCAAATGAAGAATATAAACGGCCAAATAATCATACCCTAGTCAATTTTAAGACGCGATGTCTCATGATGTCACAGTCATTTTGACTTAAATTGATAGAGACAGCACAGCAGGAGACTTAAAGGCATATTAAAATTGAGCAGCATTTAAGTATTTGGGACAATAGACAGTTAACACATACGGTATCGCGGGTATTTTGTGAAACACACGTATATTACTTTGCTCCGTCATCATTTAATATTTTCGATATAAATATCTAATATCTAATGTTTTAATTTATATCATTTAAAAGCAGAGAAAAATTACATTAAAATAGTCTATTAGTGATAGTGAATTAATTTGTGATTCGTAAAAAGTAATAATATACTTTTTTACTTAAATATTGCATGCTTCTGCGTCGACAACAGTGCAGTGGTCGTTCGCTTCCCAATAAGCGCTTTTATCGCTTGAGCTTACTGAACGGTTTAGGATTTATTTTTAATTACTTTAAACGAACCGAGATGTCTTCTACTGGGAAATGTGCTGGTTGTCAGAATAAAATAACTAATCGACAGTTTATGTGTTGTTGTTCATGTAAACTAAAATATGATTTGGACTGTGCCACGATTAGTGAAAAAACTTTCATTTCGTTGGACAAAGAACGTAAAGCTGTGTGGATATGTCATGCATGTAAAAATCGTCAACCTAAGAGTGATAACCAGAACACTCCCATTCGCGGCAACACAATGTACTCAGAAGGCTGTATGGAGAAGGAGACAGAAGAATTGGCAAGTAATTTAAATGTTAAAGTGCGCGCCAAGTCTAACAGGCGGGAGGTCAGCCTTCTACCAGCAACTATAGAGGAAATCGGCGACTTGCTTGATAATAAATTATCGGATACATCACCAATTTTTCGCAAATTACGATTGACTATTCTGGAGGATATCAAAACAATAATATCTCAGGAGATTAATTTAGCCCTCAATGAGTTCAAAACCGAGCTGACGCAAGCTACTGACTTTTTAGCTGCTGAACAGGCGGATTTGAAAGTAAAGGTTGAACAAAAAGACAAAGAAATTAAAGATTTACAGACTCAGACTTTAAAACTTAAAAAAGAAGTTTATACCCTCCATGGTCGACTGTCTACCATTGAAAAAATCTCTAGAGACAATAACTTGGAAATTAACGGCATACAGGAAAAGGCCAGCGAGGATCTGTTTGGATTATTTCACAACCTTTGCAACACAATTAACTCGCCAATTGCGGACAGCGACATTCGTGCCTGTCGCCGTGTGGCTAAGATGGATCAATCTTCGAGCAGGCCCCGTTCCGTATTAGTGACACTGACATCGCCGCGTATTCGTGATCGTATCCTTGAAGCCGTTAATAAGTTTAATAAAACTCAAAGTGGCAAACTAAACTCGAAACACCTAAATATTGATGGTGCTACTAATAAAATATATGTCTCTGAACATATTTCACCTGATTGTAAAGCATTATTCAGAGAGGCTAGAAGAGTAGGCAAGGAGAAAAATTTTAAGTTTATTTGGGTCAAAAGAGGAAATGTGTACGCTCGCAAAGTTGAAGGTGCTACTCCCGTGCTCATCAAAAACATTGATTGCTTAGTTAACCTAGTTTAGTTATATCTTCCATTTATTTGTTTATTTTATTTTTGTGTTCACTTGGTTTAAGTTTACTTTGATAAAAGTTTATGTTATTTTATGGGTAAAGGAAAACAAAGAAACTATTTTACAATAGGTATTTTGAATGTACGTTCGCTAAATACCGGTTTTGAGGAACTTAATCAAAGTATCCAAATTAAGGATCTTGATATACTATGTCTTAGCGAGACTTGGCTTCATCATAGTTCCAATATTGACTTGTATTCAATTTCCGGCTACAGACTGCTGCACAACCCTCGTATTGGTCGTGGTGGTGGTGTTGGTGCTTATATAAAATCTAACTTACGTGCAAAGCGTTTAGATCACCCCCCCTGGGGAACTTGAACAGATATGGTTTAATGTTAAAATAGGTAGTGAGACTGCTGTATTTGGTTCGGCGTATCGTCCTGAATCAGTGAGTGTTGGTTCAGCTATAGACTGTTTGCACGAGTCTCTCTCGTTTTTTATAGCGCAATATGATCAATTATTTCTTGTTGGTGACCTGAACATTGATTGTCTAAACAACGACGGCCTTCCATTTACGCCTAATTGTCTCAAGACCCTTACTGATACATTTAACCTCCATCAAATCGTAAACCAGCCTACACGGGTCACTTCTACTACGAGTACCCTGATTGATGTTATCTTTACTAGGACACATCTTAAGCCCATTTCTGTGGAAGTGACACATAAATGATCTTAGCGATCATGGACTGATTTCAGCGAAATTTCCGCTCGCGATTCAAAAATCTAAATGTCGTATAATTTCATACAGACCTATAGCTGAGAACACAATTGCTATAAACAATGCTGCTAAATACACGCCATGGGAGCTGGTACTAGTACAAGATGGTATCGATAATATGGTAAATACCTTTAATAATCTCGTCATTGACTTGATGGACTCATTCGCCCCTGTTCGTAAAAGCACTTTTAAACTACCCCCTGCCCCATGGATGACTGATACCCTTAGAAAAATGAAGTCAATTCGTGACAAGGCTTGCCACCGGGCCAAAACTATAAAATCGGAAAGTAGTATGCAATTTTACCGCGATCTGCGCAACTATTATAACCGAGCAGTTACTCTAGAAAAGCAGGCATATTTTACTAGGTTTGTCAATGATAATAGGTCAAATCCTTCTCAGATGTGGCGTCACATAAAACGAATAATTTCACCTGCCGTAAAAAATCGTTCCATACCGGACCATCTTCTTGACCCTGATTCACTTAATAATCACTTTACAAACACCATATCATGTGCACCTCCCGACAAAAGTGTTATTCAAGAAATCGAATCACTTAAGCACTCTGAAATCGAATTTCAATTTGTAGCTGTAAATGAAACGTTAGTGAAAAGTATAATTGCTTCTACAGCTACTAATGCGACCGGAACTGATGGCATCTCCATGTTGATGTTAAAACTTACGCTTCCATATTCTTTGTCAACGATAGTGGCGATAGTCAATAAATCTATATTGGAAGGAGTATTTCCAGAATCTTGGAAATGTGCCATCGTCACTCCCATTCCCAAAAAATCAATGGTGGATAATCTTTCTGATATAAGACCAATAAGCATTCTTCCTGCACTATCTAAAATAGTTGAAAGATGCGTTCTTTATCAAATTTCACCATATCTAGAACGTAATCAAGTACTGCCTGTGATTCAATCTGGTTTTAGAAAGAATCACAGTTCAGTATCAGCTCTTTTAAATATTACTGATGATATTCTTGCTGCGTCCAATGAGGGTAAGGGAACAATTATGGTTTTGCTAGACTTCAGCCGCGCTTTCGATTGTGTTGATATATCTATTCTATTGGCAAAATTAAAATACTATGGTTTCACAGAATCGGCCTGCACCTGGTTTCAATCTTATTTCCATAATCGCTGCCAAAAAGTGCAATGTTTGAATAGCCAAGGAGTTCTAAATGTCTCCAACACGCTCCCCCCTTAATAAAGGTGTTATCCAGGGTTCAATACTTGGTCCCACATTATTCGCAATTTACACGGCCAACGTTACTAAAGCTATAGTTCACTCGAAAATTCACTTATATGCAGATGACAGCCAAGTATACGTTCACACAACGCCAATTGATGAGGAGGTTGCTGTTGCTATTTCCAAATTAAACAAAGATCTTGATTCTATTGCGGAGTGGTCTTTGAAACATGGCCTGGTACTTAATCCCTTAAAGAGTGTCACCATTACCCTTGGAACAAAGCACCAGGTAAAAACGATTAATGAACGGAAATCTCTTGTTAAGATCTTTGACACCGTTATACCTTACGAGGGTTGTGTTCGCAATTTAGGTCTCCTTATGGATGAGAATTTAAAATTTGAGCAACATGTTCAGACTAAAATCGGTAAATGCTATGGTTCGTTAAAAACTTTGTATAAAATTCGCTCATTTCTAAAACGTGACATAAGACTGCTGCTCTGTAACAGTTTAGTACTATGCCACCTTCATTATTGTGATATTGTTTATGGTCCATGCTTATTTAAAAAAAACTGTGAAGAATGTGCAGAGAGTGCAGAACGCATGTATGCGTTTTTGTTTTAACATACCGAAAAGGGATAGGATTTCACCTTATTTAGTCAGTAATGGCATTTTAAATATGTGCAATAGTACTAAATTAAAATATGCATGCTTTCTGCACACTCTGCATCACGCAAAGTCTCCAAGATATCTGTATGATAAGATAGCTGTTGAAAAAAAAAAGTTTGCTTTCAGTCAGAGAAAATAGTCATCGGCTTCCACTACCCAGGATTAGCCTCGCTGGAGCCAGGGGGTGTTTTAAATTTGCCGCTGCTAAAATTTGGAACGATTTGCCACCACCAGTCCGATCTACCCTATTTCCGTCTACCTTCCGACAAAGATGCCGCAAGTGGCTTATTCAAAGACAGTCCCTGGCTCTATGTGGCTTTGATACCCCCTCAAATTAGACAACTTTTTTTTTGTATTTGGAAGGTATAATTTATTAATTGTTTTATTTTTATTTTTACTTTTTTATTGTTGATACGTGTGTTTCATCAATTGCCTAAGACCCTGTATGAATTATGCGCAAAGGCTGTGGCAGAATAGCAGGAGTAATGGGTTTTCCGTTACAACTGAGTCACAGACCGTTTTGTCACAACTAAAAAGTTATTATTATCTCTCTATTTAAATTTTAACATTGTATTTTTGTGTGGCAAATAAATACTTTTTATTTATTTTTTTATTTAAGAGGATACCTTGAAAATGAATCGTAGTTTTGGGGGCGTGGCTTATTCCTTTGTCGGTGAAGCTCGCGGACGACTGAGGGAGTGTCAAAATGAAAGTGATGCAATGACTTCATAGTACGCAAATTGTGAGATAGCTATACCGAGCAAGCGCTCGGAAAATAACTAAGCAAGCGCCAAACAACGTTTTCGTTTTTTTTTTAACAAAACTACTTAATGGATTAAAAAAGTGGTAAATTAGAACTTAGATACGATTATACTTATACTACGCCTTAAAAATAATTCCATGAACTTATTCGTAAAAATATTGTGGTGTCATGAAAAAATGTAACTAATTAGAGCCTACTTTGCAATTTTTTTCTATCGAGAAAATTTCATGATATCATGTTTTCCTTTTATGCAATCCAAGGTCATATAGTTAAAAATCATATACCAAAATTTTTGTTAGTAATATATAAAACTCAAAGAAATATCTGAAATAGAAAAACCACCAAATTTTCGAGGTATCACCTTAAGTTAACAAAATCGTAAAAATCGGTTCACAATAGACGAAGATATAACGTGAAATACATGCAGAATAAACATCAGTTGAATTACTCTACCTCCTTTTTTGTAGTCGGCTATAAAAGGCATGGCACGCTCACCATACACCATTCTACAAAGCCGCAAAGTATGAACAGTGAAAAGAATCACTTATACCCGCGACACGCCTACAAACATCTTGAACTAACAGCGAGTGAACATGAGCCCCTGGCATTATGCCAACGTAAATGGAACTTGCTCTTTATAAAGTTACCAGCGCATTACTTACCGACTTCATAAATATCGATCTGACATAAAATATGAAAAACTTGAGCAAGTTTTTTTTTTAAAACATTACATATTGATAGAAATTATGTGTGGAAATAAAGTTGCACGCGAAAGTCGACGAGTAGTTACTGATGTACGAGGGGTGATCCAAAAGTAATGATAATCGGTTACTTCAGGTCCGCATAAAAATCCAAAAAAAAAATATTTTTTGCTTGCTTATATACTCACTATGTCAGCCTAAAAAAGTCATATAAATAGATCACGATTTCCGTGAGATACATTCATTTGAATACGAACTGTCAGAGATAACATCAACATGGAGAAAAACGAAATTAGAGCCGTCATCAAGTACCTCTGTTCGAAAAAAATGTCTTCAAAAGACATACACAGTGACTTAGTGGAAACATTGGGGGACTCTGCTCCTCCATATTCTACAGTTGCACGCTGGGCCAAGGAGTTTAAACTGGGCAGAACATCCACTGAAGATGAACATCGCGAAGGACGCCCATCCACGTCCCTCACTGAAGACAACGTGAAAAAAGTCGAAGATCTTGTGTTGGCAGATCGAAGAGTGACCATCAGGCATGTAGCTGAGATCACAGGGATCTCATATGGCAGCGTTCAAATAATCCTTGCGAACGAGTTGCATATGAAAAAGGTCTGCGCGTTGGGTACCCAGAATGTTAACCGACGAGCAATAAAAAATCGAGTTGACATTTCGAGGGTCAATCTCGAAATGTTCAAAGCAGATCAAGAAAATTTTTTGGTCCGTTTTGTGACTATGGACGAGACCTGGATCCACCATTTTGATCCTGAAACGAAACAACAATCGATGACTTGGAAGCGAGCCTCCTCACCGACGCCAAAGAAATTCAAAGTTTCAAGTTCGGCGGGAAAGGTTATGGCATCTGTTTTTTGGGACGCTCAAGGCATAATTATGGTGGAATATTTGGA